TTGAGGTTTTAATTAAAGGTTCTATATTAAGCAAAACTGACTCTTCTGAGCTTTAAGCCATGTTATAATATTGTTACCTCTTCAAAAATATAACTGGACCTGTCTTTTGTTTGAGTAATTCTGCATGTCCGTCTACGTCTACATCTACAATGCTCAAAATGCTCTGTTCCACCTTGTGATGTCATGAAGCTGTAGTTATCAATTCAGCAGCTACTATTTACCTTTAGCTCAGAAGAGATGGGCAATTCCAGTGATTGATTCTAGTGATTGTGCATGCAGTTTAAAAACACGGTGGAACACTTTCTGTATTACCACGACATCACAAGGTGGAACAGGGTGTTTTTTGTTTAAGAAAAGAACTCAGGCTAAATATGCAAGGTCTGGTGTTAAACATGTAAGATAAAAATAAAGTAATATGGGCCCTTTAAGTAGTTTCTAAGTCTGAACCATTCTTAATAAACTATTTGATCAATATGTATATGTAGTTGCTTTATTAAGGTTATTAAAAGTGTAGTTGCCATAAAATTAAAGTTCACATTTCTACATGACCAACACCAAGTTTGTTGAAAATATTCCCTTGAAATAAATCCTTATCAGATTGTATAAACAGTCTAATCTGGAGTTGTTTTGCACTCTCTATCTCCTAGTATTGACATAACATACTTAACACCACCGCTCCATGCTGCTAATCTGCTTGGGAGATTAACATGTCTTTGTACTGAGCGGCAGAGTAGTTTTCCCTTTTTTTTTTTCCTCTTCCCTTCTTGTTTGAGGAGGGGTATCTTATTTCATCCCCCTCTTCGGCTAGACCACATGACTCAAAAAGTAAAGAGCAAAAAAAAAAGTTGAAAAAAGAGGAGGGATTTCTGAGATAGCTCTTCAATGAAAACCACATGGAGGAGAGAGAGGGAAGGGGAGGGGGTGATCCAGAACCCAACCTCCCGTAGAGAAAAAGGGGGAGTGAACCAAAGCAATAGTGACATTCCCGACAAGCACTGCTACACAAAAGACCAGGAGAGTGAACTATCCGGGCACGTTTTTAAGGATACGACCAAGGAGACTACGTTGTTTTGCTATAGAACTAACTAACTGACCAAAAGTGGCAAAATGTCCCATGCGTTAGTGAGAAGAAACTCCAGCAAAGTGGGGCTGCAGAATTTGATGAAGTAAGTGCACTGGTTTCTATTTGTCTTGATGTAGACGTGCTGTTAATGTTTAAACTGTTGAAATACAGTTAACATTTTTGATGGGCTATGTCCTTTGCCTCACAATATGAAAAATAAGTAAGCAGATAGTGGTGATATTATGTGCTTCATAATGAGTTAAAGTGGCAAGCACTGATTTGAATACTCCATTTGAGTTTACTGTTTAATTATACTTATGGTACATCCTTTTGAAGTAACATTTGAAGTAACATTTTGACGCCTCTGCCCATGTGTACTACCTGGTTGAGTACTTGTTTAGTCTTTGTTTAGCCCCATATTTTTAAACCTGACTTTTTGTTTCAGTTAGTTATGTATTTATTTATTTTTACTTTTTGACCTAGATTCTCCTTTTTCATTTTGTACATTTCATATTCATAACAATTCAAATTTTGAATGTATCTTTTTGTACTTGTAAGTATACAGAATTTGCACAATCACTACAAAAACATAAATCAAATATATATTTTGAGCACAGATGGTTATTAATTTCACTCTACTAGCCATTTTTGACTTCTTCTTTCTCTGACATATTGTAAAGTGATACAAATTTGAAGTAACTAAACTCAGTGTTTGGGTTATTCTGCCTTTACTTGGTGTTAATATGTAAACGGTAGACTAACAGATTCTATGACATTTTTGTTGGGGGTTAGTGAAAGCATGGCACCCTATTAGCACTGAAGCACTGAAGGAGGGAACTGGGATAAATGCCACTGTTTTGGGTCATTTGAGGTTTTGGGGGAGATTTGGTCTAGATTAGAAAGGACAGATTAGAAAAGATTTAATTTCATCATTAATGAAGAATAAAAGCAACACCATTCACAATACCTTTGGTTCTAGTAAACTGCAATTCAATCTACTGGTTCTCAAACTGTGGTGCAAGTTCAAGTTAAGACCTGGTTATGTCCACATTTGGTGCTGGTTTAGTCCGGGAGTAGACTTGGTCTAGTCCCGGTTTATATCTGGCACAGTTTAGACTAACCTGAATCAGATTTTGTCCTATATTGTATTTGTATTAACCTGGAATTGAATCAGTTTAAGTCTTTGATTTTATTTTAAAAACTTTTCTTTTTATTTTTTGTATTTAAAGAATAATTGGTTTAGTCTGGTTTTGACAGAATCCTGGTTCTGTCCCGGTTCAGTTCTGGATTAGTCCTGGCTGCAGATAAAGTTATGTGAAATACAGGTTTCTAGTGTAGCCTATAAACATTGATTTTCTAAGTGGTTATACTTTAGCTTGGGGGTTCCTCTTTGGCCCAGGGAGGAAATGGTGTCATGACCCCTGTCCAAGGTCTGAGGGGGTCTGGGGTGGGCTTTTGTTCTGTGGCTGTCTGCATGTCCTGTCTCTACTATCTCTCCCAAAGCTTATATCAGTGCTGAACAGTTTTCTACTGTGTATAATGCATGCAAGATGTCCATATGCTTTGAAAAGTGCTGTGAAATCAAATGAGCCTCTGGTATGTACACAATAGACTTATCAAACAGGCTCCACTTGACCTTCTGTGCAGATATGTCAGCCTACAGAGAGTGATACATAGTAAATAGTGGAGAAACAATATGATGGCAAACTTCAACTGTTCACAGCAAGAAGGTCCTGAGTTTGACAGTATAAGCCTTTAAAGGGCTCAAATTACACTATTTTCTGATCTATGTTATAGGTCCTTTATTATGTAAACTTGACTCTTGTGAGCTTTAAGCCATGTTATAATGTTGTTACCACCACACAAAAACAGACCTGGATTTGTGATTTGTTTCATTCACACATGTTTGAGTAATCCTTTATTATTAGTCTGTCTAAAGATCAGAATGCTCTATTTCACTTTAAGATGTCATGAAGCAATCTACATATGCAAGATTTGTGTGTTAAACATGTGTGAATGAAACAAAACACAACTCCAGGTATGTTTGTGATGAGAAAACAACTTTATAACTTAGATCAGAAAATAGCATAATATGGACCCTTTAAATAAATGCTGATACCATGCTGCAGAACTTTCTAGGTAAAGTCAAAACATCTCCACGGAGACAAACCCCCACCAGAGGAAGAAGAAGAAGACAGTGCACCTTCAACTGATTTTTTTTTTATTGATGACTCAACAATTGGTAGACAGTTGCATAACTTAGCTTAAAGCCACTGAATCTATATCTGTTTTATAATCAGTGACATACTGATTAGTCCAAACACATATGCACTTGTCACTGGCTGGTATGTAAACCTATGTGTGACTCAGGGTGAGTTATGGGACAGATAACAGCTGGGAGACGCAAGTCCTGCTCTGATTCAGTCCACTCAGCAGATGGCACCAGCCCGAGGGAAAGCATGACATCACTACACAAACACTACATAATGTTGAGACACTGCTCGAAGACATCACACAAATGTTCATTCACTCAGCACTGGGAAATACTGAAATTATGTAACTAATTATGAGTAATTATTGGATTGTGTGTTTCGTAAGCACTAGAATTTGTGTCATCTTTGTTAACAATCTAGCAAAGACGATGACAGCTCAGTGGTTTATATTATAGCGGGATCATCATATCATATTGTTCAGAAATCAGATACTAATTGATACTTAAACTAGTATCGAAAATAGATACTCATTTGAGCAGGTGCTGATACTACAAAAGTCACACTCACAGGACAGGAATGAACTTCTCCTGAACAGTTTTAGACTGATCTTGAGCTGTATCATAACAAGTATATGGAACCTAGGGATTACACAGGTATAAGGTCACATGGAAATATAAAATAAAGAACTATTTAATACTGAAAATCATATTCTAATGTGTAAAAAAGAGTGTGTTTTTTTTTATTATTATTATTATATAACTGCGGCATCAGAATTGTTATTGAGTATCTTGTCTGTTCCTTGGTATCAAGTAGAATTTGAATATTGAGAACTGTGGCAACACTAGTATCAATGTTTATATCTATAAAGGCAATATGCATTACCAATTGAATTTGAATACCATACCTATAGGAAGTAACTATATTAAAGGGCCAGTACCTAACTTTTATCTTGTGATTCAGGAAAAAAGTATTTGCTGATTAAAGCTTTTTTCACTCCGTGCTGGGAAATACTAGAATTGTGTCACTAATTATGAGTAATTACTGGATTGTGAGTTTTGTAAGCAGTAGAGGAATTTGCGTCATCTCTGCTAACAACCTAGAGACTATTCCAATTCAGTGGTTTGTGTTCAGATTGAGACATATCTTATTGCATCTGTATAACATTTCAAGATATTTAAGGGCAAGTATCTAACTTTTATCTTGTAATTCAGGAAAATGCATTTTAGTCTTTAAAACTGACAGTAAAAGCAGCTATTATTTGAATGAATACTGGAATGAATATATATTTTGAAAAGCATTTTGCTGGATGAGAGCCATAAAGAAGCAAGGAATATTATCCAATCAGAGATGCTGTTGGATGAGAACCATGTGGAAGCAATTGAGTCATGTGACTACTGTTGTTTGTGCATCCGAGTGATCTATAATCTGCTACCATAAGTACAAGAAAGCCCCAAGGTATTTTAATATTAAGGCAAGAATACTGTTATCTCATCAAACTCCACTCATTAAACCTACACAACCCAGGAACATTATAACAAAAATTGACCTAAATTTTGTTATTAATGTTACATAAGACTTCACAAACAAAACACATTCAGCTTTTTAGGGTTGGGAAAAGTATCAAAAAGTACCACAACCAGTACTAAAACTAGATACTAATTTGAGCAGGTATCGATACTAAAAAAGTCACATGAACCTTTCCTGAATAGCTTTAGAATGATCTTGAGTTGTGTCAGAACAAGTATAAGACCACATAGACTAGTATACGCCCCTGGACCACTTTCAAACGTGTTTTTTATTATTTTCATGGTACCGGAATCAACTTGCTTTTTAGTTAAGTGAGATTATCCAAACCAGTTCTTGCAAATTAGCAGGCTTCTAACCGGCTTTTAAACTTCACTTATTTGTTGCCAGCTGTTTTACACATGGCCTTTGCTAATTAGAAACAGACTTCATACTACATTCACACTGGTTTTAACAAACTATAGACTTTTACTGTGGCTTGTGGCGGAGGTGGGGAGTACCCAGGTCCATTTACTTGAGTAACTTTGTAGAGTAGTTTTCTAGTTGCATACTTTTACTTTTTACTTGAGTCATTTTTTTTAATATATATATCTAACTTGAGTAAAAGTTTGAGTTATTCTTCCCACTGTGAGTAAGTCTACAACTTTCTGTTGACAACATGAAATTATTTGAACATTTGTGTTTCTTACACTTCTTAGTTTTCCTCATTTTTGTGCCTATTTCAAAGTACCAGATTTTGTGCATTATTTAATATTTTATTCTTCAGTTTACATCAACTTCAAATTATTAATCAGATTTTATTCTTAAAGTTACTCATTTTGAGTAGTAGTTTTTATTGAAGCAATGTCTTGGACCACTACTTATACTTGTATTCTACTTGAGTTATATCATTTTGAAGTAACATCACTCTAATTTACTGCAATTTTTGGCTACTCTGTTCACCTTCAGCTTTTGGTAACATAAGCAGTACCTGTGAAAGACAAATGAGAAATTGTAATTCTTAAAGACGTCAACACTTCATGGACACATTCCTTTTAGTATTATTAGGAGGCAATTAGATCACAATAAAGGGCTTACAAGGTGTTCCCTCACTTCCCCAGGATCTTGGCTGTAAACGTAATCCAAACAGCTCCTAAATGCACTCAACAATAACGGTGTTGTGCCAAATATTGTTGCTAAGGTTACGTATGATATATCACCATAAAAATCCTGTTCAAAGTGCCTTTACTTACTGGAGTGTAAATTCAGTCCTCAGACAATTTCATTCTGCAGACTTGACAAAGTATCTTGGATTGTTATTGCTTTGCCTATACCACATTACTGCATTAAATATATTTATCTCCATGGAGGGGAGCAGGTGGCACCA